TTAAACTAATTGATTCTTAGAATGGATCATAGATAAAAACTTGAATTTTGGCTGTGATATATGCACACACACACTGAAGAACTGTGATACTACTTTCATGTGATGAATAATGGTGTATACTATGTGCAGTGAGGAACTTGAATATGAGACTAGCATTGATACAATGTTGCATTTACTTCTGTTCATTTAACCACATTCTTTTTCGATCATTGTCATTACTTTTATCCATGAAAATTTAAAAATATCACTTTTTCTTTCTAAGACAGTCCTTTTTTGTCTAGGTCAGTAGGAATGTAGCATGAATTCGTTCACCAGAGGATTAGCAAATTTCTAAGTTTGTCTGTTGCTTGAGGACAAGCAACACTTCAAGTTTAGATGTATCTGATAACATAAAAATATATACCCTTTTTGCAAGCATTTCTTACTCATTTCCACTTATAATTTAGTGTCAATTAGTTAGGATTAGTTTAATTTTAGGGTGAATTTACAGTTCAGGTATCTCAGAGGGCCAATATAGAAAATCACCATAAAAGAGGACCAAATTACACAAAAAAGCATCAAAATGGACTGGAATGAAAACTGCTGAAAATTGAGCTATTGAAGGATTGATTGGAGCTGAAACAAGTGGAGAAATCCTTGTTGTGGAAGGAAGATTGATAGCAGATGGATGCAAGTGGAAGACTCTTCAGCAACTACCTCAATAGAAGAAGAAAAAATGGCAGCTGCTCTGCGGCCAAGTTGCTGCTGCAGATGCTGTTGCTGCTGCCAATCAGGAAGAGCCAAGGCTGAATTCTTGCTACCAGAGGAAGGAATTGCTTCACCATCACTGCAAGTTATAGCTGCTGCAAGTGGAAGAAGAGAAAAAGGGAGAATATGTGGAAAACAATAGCTACAACCTGCTACTTACCAACTATGACTGCTGCAGCTGAATTGATGGATTGGCTACTATAGTCAGGTGAGAAATGGTGTTGCAAGTGATCCTAGGAAACACGAAAGAAAGCGCAGACCGATTTGGGCTGAATTGGGGGCTGAAACACAATGATAGAAGGAAGAATGCTGCTGATGCTGCTGCTTGCTACTAATGCTAGTTGAGCGCTGCTGTAGATTAAAGAATGAAGAAATAGAGATTTGTGGCTGGAAATTAGAGAAACTGCGCTGGAGAAGAAGACTAAAAGAAGAAGACAATGATAATAGGAAGGTGGCTGATTTCGGCTGAAGAAAAAGAGAAGCCAAAGAGAAGACTGCAACTTGCCAACTAGGCAAGCTGCAGAATAACCAAACCTCTATTGCTGCAAGTTGCTGCCTCACCATTCTGCTGCAGAGAAGAAGGCTAGAAACCAACCAATCCAAGCTTCTCCAAATCTCTATAAATAGTCAGCCAATAGCAGTTAGAAAAACAACACATTGGGTAGTTAGATTTAGTCTAAAAGACAGTAGTTAGGTAGTTAGTTAGTAGGTTAGAAACAGGGTAGTAGCAGAAACAAGGAGGTAGACTGTCACTCTGTCAAGTGGCGAATGCAACTCGCCATACTGAGCAGGCAGAATCTCTCCCTGCTACCATCTTCCCTTTCTTTCATCTAACCTTTTGATCTAGACTTATGTCTTATTTTTTGTACTCTGTTGCTCTAATGTTTAACTCGATAAGCATGAGTAGCTAACTCAGTTAAGGGTTCAATCCCTACTATCTTTATGTGAAGGTTTTGATTCAGTTTCCTTGATGAAGTGTTGTGCCTAGATAAGTTATTTAATTAACCTTTTAGTTAACTTGGTCACTTAAATAAATGTACTTGCATGGTTATGAAGATCTGGAAGGGAGAGCATAACCTTAGAACTGCTTAATCTAGTCTATGAAAATGGAAGAAATCTACTCTAAGATTCGAGACATCAACGGAAGTTAGGTGAATGGCATAGGCAATCATAATGGGCTTAAGAACTCAATGGCTTAGATTAATGAATTACCCTGACTGGAAGGTAGGTGATTTAGATAATTTAGGACTCTTTATTCTGTTTGGAAGGAATTATAAAGAATATAAGTACCTAATCGAACAACTAATCATACACTACAGGAATATTTGAATAAAAATGGATCATAAGGGTAGGAAGTTGATTGACCTTTCTGCCTCTTCACTTTGTTAAGTGACTATTCTCACTCTCCCAAATGACAATCTGTTCAACTCATTTTCTTTCTTTTCTACACTTTAATCAGATTTTTAGCGGTTGACTCATGTCTCTGCGGAACGACCCTACTTACCACTAACTACTAAATAGGTTTATAAATATTCTTTCTGGGAAGTGGTTCAACGACAAACCCCTAACCAATGATAGTGTTTATTCAGTTACTCATATTGGTGATGTGGTCCTTTTTGAGTTTGTTACTTTTACCTCATGTTTACACCTACCAAACTTCAAATATAACTTGCTTTCAATAAGACTATTAGCCAAAGTAAACAACTTTTATTTCAAGTTCTTTGTGGACATTTGTCTGCTACAGGTGCTTAAAACCAACAAGGTTCTTACAACAGGAAGGGTCATCAAAGAACTTTATGTCCTTGCACCACATTCATTCACTCCTTAAGCCATTCTAGAATCCCAAAACCAGTTTGCTGTCTACATGATTCACATCAGAATTCCTGAAGTCTCATAACCATCCAACTCATCACCACATCAGAGCCTTTCAGCTGTTTCTGTAAATACCTTACATCTTAAACTAGGGCAAAATTCCGTTTCCCTGATTCCCTTTCTGGACAAAAGAACACAGCTTAAGGGAATTCTAGATATAGTTCCTATAGCTTATACAATTTCTATCTTTCACCAACATTTTCTTCCACTTTTCATTTGGTCCCCACTCCCCACCTTAGCTCAGCCGTGCAGCAACCGTTCTGGCCAAGATCTATACTCCTAATGCTCCCAAAAAATTGGTCTATTCTAATACCAAGTACTATTTGATTATAATAACAATAAAACATAAAGAACTAGTAAAGAAACTACTCTAAATCAAATATAAACATGAGTAAAATGATGACTTTCACATCTTCCCAACTCAATTTCATTAAATTTTAATTCCAAATCTAACCAACCAAACACACACCATTAGCAAAAACAAATTCCAAAATAAAATCGTTGTCCAACATTATTGAATTCAATTATTTCAATTGTTCAATTCTAACTTGTTCATGAGTCGCACCCAATATTTATCTGCAATCGTCTATGAATTAAGCATTATGGCGCTTGAGTAGCACGAATAGGCTTCCACCATTCTCAACAAGCTCAGCAAAACGTGGTGTGTTCAAGAAATTCTCAAGCTTGTCTGGATATCTTCTGAAGAGTTCATCAATCACATTGGGACTGAAATGTTGGCACAAGATAGGTTCCACAGTAGCTCTTGATAATGGTTAAATTGTTACATAAAAGCATCACACTTAACTTTGTATTTGATGAACAATTGGGGGTATTTCCTAACATTGGTGCAATTTACTTAGCTCATTTTCATGTTAATGTTAGGAAAGGACCGGACTGAATAATTGCTAAAAATTGGAAGCCAAAGGAGCAATTTAAGGACTGCTGAGGCAAGGGTGCTGAGCTGGACGAAGAAGAAGGCCCTTAGACAAGAAGCATCTTGTCATTAATGACCTTGCCTCCTCCTAGAGGCATGCTTGTCCCCCAGCCGCAATCCCAGCCACCACTGCTGATCAATGAGAGCAAAACGACTGCTGCTGGAAGAGAGAAAAGAAACGGCCAAGTTGGATTGCAGGCTCAAGACATTGGGAGGATTAAACAACTCCAAGCATGGGGAGGTTCTCATGATGAAGACACCGGCTGCAAGGCCCTATAAGAGAGGGAACTGCACTCTCAATGGGAAGAGATATCTCTCAGTCTCTGGTTAGCTTTTCAGTTGCTAAAAACACTCAGAAAAACTCCAGGTAGAAGACAAGAAAGAAGAAGAAGCAGCAACAACTCAGTGAGGAAGCGAAGTTGAAGAGTAGCAACCCAGTTTCTTCTTGGGCCCACGAGTGAACCCCTTCACTCCCGTGAGTGACTCGAAACGCACAAGCTTTCTCCTCATCTCTTGACTGTTAGCTTGAATTTTGTTTACTATGCATACTTCTATGATGTCTTTCGATGTAGTAGATGTAGCATTAATCTGTATGAGTAGCTAAACAGTTCCCAGGGGTTATTCTCCTCAACTGATGTTGTAGTTGTCAAGCACTGGTTTTGTTTCCTTGTTTTATGGTTGAAAGTTTTCTACATTCATTTACTTGATCACTAAATTGAATGCATGTTAGAACTAAGGGAGATCTGGAAGGATAAACTTGGTTTGGATTGTTTCAACTTTAACTTATGACATAGAGGTAACAGTCTATGGTTTTAACTAAGATAGGAATATACTTAGTTAACATAAGTATTCTTGAAGGCCTAAGAACTTAATGACTTTGTAGCTGAAATCAATCATTGGAAAATAGGTTGTTAAGGTTGCAAAGATGACTCTAGGAAAAATGGGAACGGACTTAGAGTTATAAGTGAGCTGAATGAACAAGAACTCAACCATTACTGTGCTAATAAAACAACTACGACAGCAGGAAGAGGAGAAGAACACCCCTGACCTCCATTCCCCTGAGGAGAAGAACACGTCCGCCTTTTTAAGTCACTTCAGTCAGCCACGATTTCCAAAAACTTTAACTGCTGTGCATTAACTCATAACTCCTTCATTGCTTCGTCTTCTTCATTTTCTTCTTAATCCCAGAATCACTCCTTCAACCACCACTTCCCTGTGTGAACATACTAACGATTCCTCTAAGTTTCCAGGCACATAAGGCAATTTTCAGATTCAATCACAAAACCCCTCTTTCAATTTTTCCAACACAACTCTTAGGGTTTGTCACAGATGCCGCCGGCAAGGAGGAAGGCTGCTGCCCGCAAAAACGCCTCCAACACAAGGAGAAGGATATCATCCTCCTCATCCTCGCCCTCTCCTGAACGGCAAAGAACACCCACTCCACCAGCATCCCCTGCCAGAGAACCCACCCCACCGCCACCTCCACAACCACCAAGGGTGCTGCAAGAACAAGCCCTTAATGCCATCACAGATGAATGGGAGCCCAGGTTGTTTCCAAGGAAGAAGGGTTGGGATTTCTTTTTGAAGCACATAAGGCGAAAGTTCATTCCAGAAAGGGGAATCGGTGAAGATGGCGCAGCTTTTGCCTACATCAAGCGCCATGGCTGGGAGACCTTCTCCAAACCACCGGTCAAGCCAAGGATCCAGATTGTGCAAGAATTTTATGGCAACTTCCACACTGCCCCCAGAGATGGAGTATTCGTTAGAGGCATCAGCGTCAATTGCAGCACAGAGGCCATCAGGGCCATCTGGAAATTACCAAGAATAAGCACTGATTACAGAGAAACCCTGGCTGCCCTGCATCCAAATCAACCGCTGGAACAGGCCATTCTGTCCAGATTGGCAAAAGAGGGCACAAGCTGGGAGATGGATGATCAAGAAAACCCTTTGGGGTTTCCAGCAAACGCGTTGCAAACGCCTGACTTAAATCTGTGGCACCATTTCATCTGTTGCAATCTGATGCCAACATCCTACACTTCTAAGGTCACCTACGAGATGGCTCTGCTGCTGTATGCCATTGTCACAGACACACCATTTGATGCAGCCTCAGTCATCCGGGAGCAACTCACCCGATGCATCACTGATAGAGCTGGTATTTCCTAGTTATGGTCACCATGCTATGCAAAAGGGCAGGGGTGACCTTCCTGCACACAGACGCAGAGAGCAACTTGCAGCAACCATTAAGGATGCATAAGTTGGATCAGAAACCCCCTGGTGCCTCATCCGCAGGACAAACAACATCCACTCCCACTCCAACTGGACAGATGAGGCAGAGGGATTTCAACAAGCAGACCAGGTTCATCCTGGATTACGTCCACCAATGCCAGACGAGGATGGAGAAATTCCTGTAGGAAATGCACAAGTGCATTGGATGCCCTGAAAACTGCCCAATGCCGCATGATCCGCCAGTCCACCCACTTCACGGAATGCCTCAATGAACACTCAGGGAAGTGGTGTTCTGCTTCCCTTAATCAGCAATTTATTTGTTGCCTATTTAATGTTTCATGTGTTGTTTTCTGTACTTTTTGTTTTCTGTTTATTGTTGTTGACGGGTTGGTGTTGTTAAGCATTGGGGGCAATGCTTAGGATAAGTTTGGGGGGAGTAATGCAGTAGTAGTTAGTTGTACTTAGTTTTTGGTTAGGTCGGTCAATGTCAGGACAATGCCATTTAGGTCCATTAGGTTCATGTCTAGATTGACTCTGTAAAATATCTCTCAAAACAAAATGAAAATCTTCTAAGGAGCTGTCAACAGTCTAGGATGATAATGGTTTTGAAAAACAATTTTGTTAAACCACTTTTTGATACTGAATCTGATGCATGAAAGAAGAATGGCTGACACTCACTCACACACATGAATAATGCCACTCGTGGAAGTGACTGCCTAGAACATAAATCTTAAAATTTGGCATGACTAATCTACTGTTGTGAGTTGTGTCTAGTTCTGAGCTACAATTAGATGAGAAATGCCGTAAATCTGAGACTTCCTTTGTGGTACCCATTCACAGCCTGCTTGCTTTTGTTTAAAAAAAAAAAAAATCTTAGGGAATGGATCAACCGGAACCTTAGGGTAACAGCAAGGAACCACCACAAAAAGTTCCAAACTGTTGGAGTAATAAGGGTTGAGGTATAAGGCAGTGGAGAGATAAGGTTGAATAACATCCCATTCAGAAAAAAAAAAAATTTTCTAAATAAATAAAGCATAAAGGCTGTGCAGGAACTCCAGGATTGAAGTCTCAGTAGGTAAATCGAGTCAAGTAACTCGGGCAAGACCAGATCACAAGAATGACCACCAAAAGTTTAACCGGTTAACTTAGAATGGATTGGTAGGTTTGGCATGAACAAACACTTGTGGCATATGCATTCTAATTCCCTGTGAAGGTTGGTTGTTTGACTCTGGATTGCAGAAAGATTTGGTATCCTCAAATGTATGTTTTCTTCACTTGAATCTGAGACGGAAAAGTTGACAGCACCTATCTGGTTGTGTTTAAGGTTGTTGCTTGTTTAGTGTCACTTACCTGAGTGGGAATCCTCACTCAGGGGAATAAGTCAATCTTCAGTCATTTTGTCTTCCCTAGTTGTTATGTGCAATTCTGAAAGTGCCAACAAAAGCTTAGTGTTTTGCTTGAGGACAAGCAATTCTTCCAGTTTGGGGGAGTTGATAATGGTTAAATTGTTACATAAAAGAATCACACTTAACTTTGTATTTGATGAACAATTGGGGGTATTTCCTAACATTGGTGCAATTTACTTAGCTCATTTTCATGTTATTATTAGGAAAGGATCGGACTGAATAATTGCTAAAAATTGGAAGCCAAAGGAGCAATTTAAGGACTGCTGAGGCAAGGGTGCTGAGCTGGACGAAGAAGAAGGCCCTTAGACAAGATGCATCTTGTCATTAATGACCTTGCCTCCTCCTAGAGGCATGCTTGTCCCCCAGCCGCAATCCCAGCCACCACTGCTGATCAATGAGAGCAAAACGGCTTCTGCTGGAAGAGAGAAAAGAAACGGCCAAGTTGGATTGCAGGCTCAAGACATTGGGAGGATTAAACAACTCCAAGCATGGGGAGGTTCTCATAATGAAGACACCGGCTGCAAGGCCCTATAAGAGAGGGAACTGCACTCTCAATGGGATAGAGATATCTCTCAGTCTCTGGTTAGCTTTTCAGTTGCTAAAAACACTCAGAAAAACTCCAGATAGAAGACAAGAAAGAAGAAGAAGCAGCAACAACTCAGTGAGGAAGCGAAGCTGAAGAATAGCAACCCAGTTTCTTCTTCAGTTCCACGAGTGAACCCTTCACTCCCGGAGTGACTCGAAACCGCACAAGCTTTCTCCTCATCTCTTGACTGTTAGCTTGAATTTTGTTTACTATGCATACTTCTATGATGTCTTTCGATGTAGTAGATGTAGCATTAATCTGTATGAGTAGCTAAACAGTTCCCAGGGGTTATTCTCCTCAACTGATGTTGTAGTTGTCAAGCACTGGTTTGTTCCTTGTTTTATGGTTGAAAGTTTTTCTACATTCATTTACTTGATCACTAAATTGAATGCATGCTAGAACTAAGGGAGATCTAAAAGGATAAACTTGGTTTGGATTGTTTCAACTTTAACTTATGACATAGAGGTTACAGTCTATGGTTTTAACTAAGATAGGAATATACTTAGTTAACATAAGCATTCTTGAAGGCCTAAGAACTTAATGACTTTGTAGCTGGAATCAATCATTGGAAAATAGGTTGTTAAGGTTGCAAAGATGACTCTAGGAAAAATGGAAACTGACTTAGAGTTATAAGTGAGCTGAATGAACAAGAACTCAACCATTACTGTGCTAATAAAAAAACTACGACAGCAGGAAGAGGAGAAGAACACCCCTGACCTCCATTCCCCTGAGTGACTGTTTCCATTCTCCTGAGTGACACCTTGTTGACTAACAGTTTTTCTTTACAACAAATTTGGTAATTAGCTGTCCTCGTGGGATCGACCTAGCTTCCATTATCTACAAAACTCATAATCCAAGCTAGTAATATTTATCTTCTTTTTTTTTTTGGTGAACTCGGCAAGCACCAGCTCTCACATGAGAATAATTTACATTCTTATCCAAGCTTGCCATACTTATTGTAGTTGGCTGGTAATCCATTTTCTAAATGCTTAACTGCTAATTACATGATTTTGCGCTTTCTTCCACTTCTGCGGCCGTTGGAAAGAAAAGAGGCAAGTTGAAAGAATCAATGAGATCTTCACGTATTATTCCCTGAAACAAATCAATCAACTAATTAGTATAAAATTATTAAAAATAATAATAATGCAAATCACACATATATGTTAATATATACTACTCACTCTGTCCCATAATTATTGTCTAGTTTTATTAAAACACAAGATTTTATTTTTTGTCCAACTAAATCAAATTTTGTCGTAGACTTCCAAATATATCCCTGCATACAATATTGGTTTTACCGGCCAAAAATTTTAGGAAAAGATTTCTAACTTCTCTTTTTCACTAACTCCCAAATTCAAAGATCATATTCAAGCACAAGAATGGCACAATCAATTCTTCTTCAATCGGATGCGTATAATCAAACTAAAATTTCTGAAGGATAGATCAATTGCAGTTTCGACCCCGTCGTTCTTGAAATTTTTCCGATGGAGTTGAATTTTATGCTGCTCCGATAATTTTGGGAAATCACAAATTAAATGCATTTTGATAAAGTCATTTGCTCTCAATCTGTGTATCATCATCAAAGGCGTATACAACTTAGCCAACGATAAATCCGGCTACCGTCAGAGTAAAATCGGGAAGTATTAATATGCATATCATTGTAGCCTTCCGACGGCGAACGAGACATCGGCAGATCGATGAAGAAAAAACTTCAATTCGACAGCTCTGTCTATTCCAATTCGTCTGAATCATCTTTTTAAAAGCACTATAGTAAGAAATTGTTCACAAATTAATGAGAAATCGAATGGAATTTTGGATTGCTCAACCACCTGGACTTTTCATTCTTTCCGCCGCTCAAAACCGTCGGAATGTAGCTCTCATTTTCGGCTTTTGGCTGCTATTGAAAAAATGGGTATGCTTTTTATTAAAGGGTATTAGTTAACTTTGCCTTTAAAAAGTCAAATAGGAAAATAATTTTGGGACAAAATTTTTTTGACAAACTAGACAATAATATTGGGACGGAGGGAGTACTATGATTCTAGTCTTACTTGTGAAACGATGTAATTAATATACCTCGATAGCCATATCAGCAAACGAATCGCTAAACACTCCATGAAATGTATCCCAATCGACTCAGAAGGCTAAGTCTCATGTGGCCTACAAGGCATGAGTATTGCTAATAGTCCAACGGGGGCGAGTTCTTCTGACCTCGCATTGAGGAAATCTCTCATGTCATTGCAAAATTGAGCCCTAAAAGCTTCGACAACTTCAATGGAACTCTTCCCGTATGTAATTCTCCCTTTGTTCCACAACGGAGAGTCCCTTTTCCCGACAGCATCGGGGACTTTACTCAACCAATGAAGAGTGAAACTCAAATTCATCAAATCGATCCAGGACTTTGGGAAAAGACTGCCATAAAAAGAGCTGGGAACTCCATCGGCTATGTATTCTCTATCGCAGGAAGCGATTTGAATAGCGTGTTGAAATCATTGCTGGCTAGATCACTGAAGAAGACATGGAAATCAGGGAGACGGACGTCCTTCGTTCCATAGACTTAAATGTGTTTGGACCAACAAAACATCCCAAGTCAGCTATGGAGAAAACTTGCAAATCTTTCTCCAGTTCAAGTGAATCCACGATTCCATCAATCAGAAAGCTCTTATTCTGGTCTATGACACTTTCCTGCATACACTCAAAACTACACTTATGTTTCCAAACAATAAGGAAATAAAAAGTAAAAGAAGACAGTTTATATGTTTGTTTCATTTTTAGTTGGTTTTTTAATATTCTTTAATTAATAAATATCTCATTTCACCGTACTTTTTTACATTTCTAATACACTTACTTACATTTCAATACAAAAACACCTTAAAACACACTGTAAAAAAAACTGATAACAGTCAAATTGTTACATAAAAGCATTGCAATTTTGCTCTTTAATTAGTTAGAAATTAGGAGTGTTTCTTAGACTTTGTTCATTTTACTTAGCTAGTTTTGTGTTTCTAAATAGGTGAGGACCGGAGTGAACAAATGCTGAAAATGGGGGCTTATGAAGCAATAATTGGGCTGGTGATTCCAATTTAAAATGAGGGCTGAGTTGGTCAAAAAGCAACTCCAAGACACAAGACACATTGGGAG